ACAGAAGAATAAAAAAGAGAGGTTAAGATCATACATACCCATTCCAAGGGCAGAGAGTTCGACATCATTGTTTGCTGCCTATACCTCTTACCAAATCCAAACTACGTAAACTCACTTACATCAAAAACACAAGTAATAACCACTTAAACCTAATCCCTAAAAAAACCCATACACGAGAATAAGCTAAAATACTCATAGAGAAACAGATTGGCTCTTCCTAATTGAAACAGTACAATCATATAGAAGTATATATAGATTTCCAGAAAAAATTGAGCTTCTGGACTTGATTCACACTAATATCCTCTCGACCCGAAAGAGTCAAGAACTTTCAAAGCAATCGAATTAAACTATGTACCTTGGCGAGATTGACGTAGAAGAACAATCGTTTCTTGGTGTTTGAAATCTGAATACGACTTTTCTTCTGGGAATCAACGGCCAAGTTCATGTTGTTCACTCCATTGGTGATCTCTTCCATGGTTGCTAATTCGGAATCCATAACCCTAACTTTTTCCGAGTAAGGGGACAACGACTAAACGAAATTAATCGACGAGGAGAATCAGCGACGACATCGGCGGCTAGGGTTTTGGGATGAGAGGAGACGATTCTTCTCCAAATGGTGATGGCGACGAATCACCTGAGACTAAAGGAAAAATGAAGGAATGGAGGCGAAATGAGGCCGAAGAGTTTCGTGGAGTCTATGGCTGATTGGAAGAGATCTAGGTTTTTTTTTTTTGGTCGTACAAAGAAAGATAATTTTTTTGGCTTTGGTATATATGATGGCACAAAAAATTTTAGATCTGAGATATGCGGCTCTTAACTGTATTTTTTTTGTTTAAGTATTGGCAGAATAAGTTATTTTAGCTTTCCGCTTAATGATTTTTTATCTTAGCATTATTTCAATGTTATTATATAGTAATCAAAATGAAACATTCATCTTTTATAGCAGTTACGGAAAATGAGCTATCTTCATGTGCTATCAATGTGGATATTTTTTGTAGTGTTATAATGATTAATCTTGGTTTCATTATTTATGTCTCAATCACCGAAGATCAAACTAAAGTTGAAATTGATGTAGTTAATTACCATGCGTATTGACCTTTTAAAGCATATATGTGCGTAGAAGTTAATAATATTCAGCCACGATTATTAAATTATCAAATAATTAATTTTATGCAACATATATACATAACTCTGAATTGACAACAAAGGTATAAATAAATCTGAAACATCATTAGCAGATATATTTTAAAAAAATAAATTGTAATAATATTCAAAATCTGTAAGCATCTTAATCTCACATAATAATTAATAACTAGTCGTAAATGTCCAAAAATCTTGGTTTTTCATCCAAATGAGACATTTAGCAATAGAGTTCTATTTGTGTAGGACAACTATTAGTATACAAAATATCGTTTTTTTTTCCGTGGACGGAGACCTAATATAGGGACCATTTAGATTGATTCATCTATATATACATTTTTGGAGTACACTTAAATAAATCTTAGAGTTGCTAAGTATTTACAAAGAATATCATTAGCATTAATTATTTTCTTTTACAAAATTTAAATAAAAGATATTAACCAAACAATAGCTTGCCTAATTTGTTTCTTAAAATCTCTACACAATCTTTCCATATATCTTCAAAAAAAATTTATACAAAAAATTTATATTAACATTTTGCATAACAATAAAAATACTAATTTATAATAATCAAAATATTCACATAGAAAAATCATATACACATACAGGAAAAAGAACTATATCTATCATCATTTACTTTATTTAAATTAAAAAAAAAAACACAAAAACTTGAAATCATATACTTTATATGATAAATTTAAAATATATATTAGTAGTATAAATTTAAAATCGTTCAAAGAACGGTATACCACGGGTGAGATCCTAAAATTATTGGATTTTATAACAATAATAATTTATTTTCTTC